CCAGAGATAGGAAATTCTTTCTTGGATGGACCTGAGGCCCACACCCTTTTGGTCTTAGTTAACTCTGTGACTTCTTTTCCAGTCTACACGTGTACCTTATTCTTTAAGTGTGTATGTTGGTTGTGTGTGTGTGTCATCTTCTCCGCACTGGGAAGACTTATAAAACCTTGCTTATAGGTTTCCTCATTCTTGCTTCTAGCTCCTCGACTCAGTGCCTTCACTAAATCCTTTGTAGCTGCCCATAGTTTTCGTTCATGTTCTGCCAGCCCAGAAAATCTTGAGACTGGCTATATAATTCATTCTTCCCAAGCAGTGGCAGTCTGTGTTATCTACTTCGTTTTTTGGCATCCTGAGCTTGTCTTAGATGACTCAATGGTCTTCTATTAACTACTTTAAATGCTCAAAATCCTCTGTATGTGTACCCTAAAAGAAGGGATGTTTTTGTCTTGTCCTCCCTTCCATATCTTAGTACAGTATCCAGCATATGTTGTTGTCATTGTTAAGTGCCGTCAAGTCCATTCCTACCCATAGCAACCCCGTATAAGATTTCTAAGGAGCGACTGGTGAGCTTGAACTGCCAACTTTATGGTTCAAACCAACTTTGCAGTCCAGCGCATTAACCCATAGCACCACATTGCTGAAGACCTCAATGAATTTTGAGTTTTACTTTCAAAGTGGACATATCAAAAAAAGTGAAGATGATTACATTAGAACTACCTAAAACTTGCCTAGTGCTTGTTGTTAAGTGCCATTGAGTCGCTTCTGACCCATGTTGTTGTTGTTGTTGTTAAGTGCCGTAGAGTCGGTTTCGACCCATAGCGACCCTGTACACGGTTTCCAAGGGTGTAAATCTTTACGGGAGTAGAAAGCCTCATCTTTCTCCCGCAGAGCGGCTGGTAGTTTCGAACCGCAGACCTTAAGGTTCGCAGCCCAATTCGTAACCACTACGCTACCAGAGCTCCTTACCCATAGCGACTCTCTATAAGGTTTCTGAGGAGAAGCTGGTGAACTTGCAGTTCAAACCAACTTTGCAGTCCAGTGCATTAACTCATAGCGCCACACCAGGATATATATGTGTGTGTGTGTGTGTGTGTGTGTGTGTGTGTGTGTGTATACACACACATACACACAGAGCGCGCTCTGGTAGCATAGTGGTTACAAATCGGGATGCTAACCTCAAGGTTGGCAATTAATTTCCAGCTTTCTGTGGGAGAAATATGAGGCTTTCTGCTCCCGTAAAGATTTGCAGCCTTGGCAGCCCTGTGCAGGGTGACTATGAATAGGAACCGACTCTTCAGTACTTAACAACAACATAGATAGATAGATAGATAGATAGATAGATAGATAGATAGATAGATAGATAGATATAGATATATGTGTGTGTGTATTTCTATGTATATATGTACATACATATGTGTGTTGTTAAGTGCTGTTGAGTTGATTCCAACTCTTAGCAACCCTGTGTAACATTTCCAAGGAGTGGTTGGTGAGTTTGAATCACTGGCCTTTTGGTCGACCATGTGGTCGAGTACTTATCTTACAGCGCCACACCCGGACTCGTTGGCTTAAGTGCTGTCACAATTGCCTTATACTAATAATTTGATAGTCCCTTGGCATTGTAGTAGTAGTAGTGCTGTAGGATAAGCACTTGGCTGCTGACCACAAGGTTGGCAGTTCACATCCACCTGCTGCTCCTTGGAAACAGGATCACTATGGGCTGGAATTGAGTCAACAGCAGCAACAACATGGTGTTATAGGATAAGCACTGGACTACTAACCACACAGTTGGCAGCTTAAACTCACCAGTTCCGTGGGAGAGAGATGAGGCTGTCTGTCCTTATTAAGATATATAGTCTCAGAAACCACATATAAAGTTGCTATGAGTCAGAACCAACTTGATTGCAGTGGGTTTGGCTTTTGGTTCATTATAAATTAAGAGGTGCCTAGGTGACTCAAGGTTTAAGTGCTTGGTTACAACTGAAAGGTGGGCAGTTTGTACCCATCAGCATCGCCATGGGACAAAGACCTGGCTCCCATAAAGCCTAGGAAACCCAGTAGATTAATTCTTCTCTGTCACGTAGGTTTGCTGTGAGTGGGAATCAACTGGACAGCATACGACGACAGCAGCATTGTGTATCACACCTTATTTTTAGTTTTAACCTCAATAGAAATTAAGTTTTCTCTTTTTGATAATGAAACTGTATTGTTAAAATATAAAGAATAAGCCCAACTCCATGAGCTTGGAGTTTTCTCCAGTGACTTAGCTGTAGGCTTTGAAGCGCTCTTCTTTCTGTTTGAGGCCGGTCCGCAGACCATGAGTGTTCCAGCTGGTGCATAGATCATTCCCTGGTGACTCCCACCAGGCCTTCGATCTTTATTACCCAGGTGGTCGGCTGCAGTTTATATACCAAGCACCTTCAAAGAGCTCGTGAAAATTTTTCATTATCTTTATATTATACTTTTGTTCCAAATTTTTTGAAGTCCCCTTGTTTATTTCCTCTTAACAAGTTCCTGATGCGTCCCCCCTGCAAAAAAACAAAAATTGAAGTGTTTCTAAAAATTAAAAATGTATTCAACTGAAATGAATGAGTATAAATTGCATGTTTTCACTACTAAGGTGATTTTTTACACTTGCGTGGCATCACCACCATGACATCAGGAGAGAACTTATACATTCTCCTGATGCCACAGCCTCTCTTCCATGCACGGAGGGTCCCAAAACTACAGGGTGCACGGAACACCTAGTCCACCATGTCGCTTGTATTTGGGTGAAGGTCACTTGTTTTTGTGTTAAAAGTGTCATATAGGTGAATTTGGAGCTTGAATGCCTTTGTTTTTTGTTTTTTTTTTTCCTTTTCTGACACAATGGAGATTTAGAAGAATGGCCTACTAGATTGCTAGAGTCTGTATTTATCTTTTCTGTTATTAATTCACTTCCTTTTTCTTCCCTTTTGATTGTGAATTATGTGAAGGTTTACAGGGAAGACCAGTTTTCTGTTTAACAATTCATACACAATTTTGTTTCATCTCACAGATTACAAACCCCACAATGAGACATCACTTATGACACTTCCTCCCTGTGTTTCCTGCTTCCATTCCTCCTCCTTTCCTTTGTCCTTGCGTGATAAATGCTCCTTTTGATTGCAAATGGTTATTTTCAGATGTGCATCCATCCCTAGTGTTATTTTCTCCTTGTAGACCTGTCTACTGTTTGTCTGAATTTTGACCCTTGGTGGCTGTGTCATTTCCAGACCTGAAGGGTGACTGTAGGCCATAGTCTCGGGGGTATCACCAGTCTCTACGTGACCAGTGAGCCTGATCTTTTTAACGATTCTACGTTTTGTTCCACATTGTTCTCCCACTCTATCCAGGACCTTTGAATGTGACCCCTTTCAAAGCAGTTGGTAGTGCTAGCCAGACTGCATTTAGTTCTGGTCTCAGGGTTGTGGAAACTGATGTTCCAGTGGTACAGTAGACATCTGCTGGACTGGTTGTTTCCATGGGTCTTTGATTTTCATCACTCTTCTTTCTTCCGGACAAGGAGAGGCCAATAGTTGCACCTTAGATGACTGCTCATGCGCTTTTTTTTCTTTTTTTTTAATGTTTTATTGTGAATTATGTGATCACTTACATGGGAGAATGTTAACTTTACAAATTCATCCTGTCATATGTCGTTACATTGCCATGGTTACAATCCCTTCCATGCATCATCAACCAACCAAAGGGTATGTACCCTGCAAGCCTGCCCCCTGGTCTTCAGCACACAACTCTTCTCCCTCTCTGGATCTAAAGTCCCCAGCTGCTCCATCTCTCCACGTCATCATCTCTGCCTCCATCTCTGGTGTCACTGCTTCTCTGGGTAAGGTCCCAGAGACCTCTGCTCCTAGACTGCAAAGTCAGTCACTCCCCTCATTGCTACAAAACGTCTACCTTTACATTTCCAGCCCTCACTGTCAGTCCTGCTAACAATCATTCACTATTGTATCACAAGCGACCCATCCGCATTTCATTTCATCAGCCACGCCTAGACAGATTAGATACTACTCAGTGGAGATTCTACCTTCCTCTGCACCCTCTGGATCTAGGCTCCCTCTTGAAAGCTTGTAAGCCTGTCACTTCTTGCCTTTGTAGCCCCTCCATTTTGGGTAGCCAATGTCTAAGTTGCCTATCCCTGTCTGCTCTGTGTGTGGAGGGAGTGGGAATGATGTTCATTGTATCAGGCACTTTGAAGACTCTAGTCACTGCTCACCAAAGCAGGATGTAGAACATTGTCTTTAGCTACTGTGTCATGCCAGTTGACCATAGTGTCCTCTGAACCCAGCAACTCATTCCCTCAAGGTGTTGGTTATGTCTAAGAAGTTGTCATAACTTTGTCCTCACATGTTCAACCATATTCATGAATATATTTGCAGCAAAGTAAATTCTCATATATAAATATCCTTTGTTGAGCCTATTAAACATACTTCCTTTATAAGTGAAGAAGCTCAGGGAGGTCACACAAGATCAGGATGAAACAAGACCTCTTGTCACTGCCCTATAGCCTTGCCTTTTTACCAGTGCTTACCAACTTTTCACTCCTAGGTAACCTTGTTCCATGCTCTGTTTATCCCTTCACCAAAGCCCTGCCATAAGACCCCCAAGTTTTAAAAGATGCATCTGTTAGATAAATGCTTTTAAAGTCAGCAGGAGCTGCAAGTTAGAGCTCGGATTAAAATTGGCAATGAAAGCCTTTTTTGGAGGGAAATGAGCACATTACAGAAAGATTTAGGAAATACAGAAAATGGTCACAGATCAGCATTATTACCATCTTGGGATATTGGAAGAATGAGCAACTCTGGGAGCACTGAGACCCCCAGGTTCTGCACTCCTCCCTAGTCGTTAGCCTGCTGTCTCAAACTTTTATATCAGATGGGTCTTACATGACTGAAAAAACACATACTTGTGTTTCAGAGTGAACACATTGAATTGATGTCTTTATTTCTTTTGCTTTTTGCACATAGATTGAGTATGAAAGGAAAAAGAAAGAAGATGGAAAGCGTGCTCGAGCTGATAAACAACATGTTTTAGATATGCTGTTTTCAGCTTTTGAAAAACATCAATATTACAATCTTAAGGACTTGGTGGACATCACAAAGCAGCCTGTGGTATGTATATGTTCAAATTGATCGTTTAACTGTGTCCTGTTTCACTTATATATCATTCCTGAAGAGAAAAGTATCTATCGTATATAAGGAAGTTAACATGCACCCAAGCTAATGTTAGATTTCATTTCAGTACTCAGAAAAGGATATCTTAATGTAGCCTGTTTATTTATTTTTGAAACATTAGCTTTACTATTTTAGATTTAAACAAATTTAATATCAGTTGTTCCTTAGGAGAGCTCTGGTGTGACGCTGGAGGATAATTACTGGACTGGTAGGTAACCACGAGGTCAGCAGTTCAAGCCCACCAGCCATTCTCTGTAAGTTGGAACCAACTCAGTAGCACACAGCAACAACAATAGCATTCCATTTGAAGAAAAGATAGAATTATCCTCCTCTGAATTGATCCTTGACAGGAAGCCTAAAGTCTTGCTAATGTCGTTTCTAGTACCTTGAAGTCATGTGGATCTGTCATGGTAAGAGGGTCTGTCCCTGTTGTGTGGACTGCTCCCTGTGAATGTTTTTTATCAGACTCTTGTCTATCACTGGATGTCTTTATGTAGCATCACACTGCCCTTCTAAGTGACACTTGTTAAGATTTGCGGTCAATTGACCTATTTTTCATTTTTAAGGTAAATTTACTTAAGTAATATTTTAGGAAGTTTATTTTTGTTCCATAAATAGTAGCGGGGTTCTTTCCCCCTTCATTCTCCAGACTTTTATGCCTATTTGCTAGTAATTTCTATTTCAAGTCCATTTAAAAAGTTGATAGCAAGTAAGTGATCCAATCCTTTCTCCAATCTTGAAGCTCTATTTGACTGTCTCATACCTAATGTTATCAAAGTATCAGATTTAATCCTGAGTCTTATTTACTTATAATTTAAGAAAAATTACATGGTAACCCTGTTATTTTCTGTCCTCATTATTTCCAGTTTTCTTCATTTTTTCCACTTTGACAGTATATGCAAGACTGTTAATTCTAGCCACTCCATGTACTCTGAATATGTAACAGGATCATCAGTTTTTAAAAAAAACAACAACAACAACATTGTAACATAACTAGATAATATGGGTATCGGGAGGGTTTATATACTTCTTCCTGGTATATATAAAGCTTTAAGAGATGATTGATGAAACTTCAGTGTTGATTATAGTTTTCACTTCTGCAGATTACTTTACTGTTAGTACATCCGCTTTTTAAGTTTCTCATTAAGAAGTTAATTTACATTTCAAAAGACCTAAATACTTTTTTTATGGAGAAGAAGAAAGACCTTGTACTTAGTATTACCAATTCATCCTAATGACTTCAGTCCTTCAGCGTCAAAGCCCTACAAACAGCATTCTAAGTTAGATTGTTAAAAAATTTGAAATAGAATAATTCATGAGCTGTCGTATGTTTCTCCTGGTTTTAATGAAGTTTATCTTCATCTACATCCACAATACATGCATATACACATTACTCTGGAGACGCTGACAGTAGATAGGATGTTCTCATGGAATAACAAATGCAGAAAACTTAGACAAGAGAAAAGAAGCATTTAAAGGAGGGACTTACAGACGATACAGAGAAAGCAGTTTCCCTAAAATAGGGTGACTAAAGGGATTACTAGTATATCTCTCAATTTTGGTTCTTCAGATAGTTTGTATATGATGGTGCTCAGCGAATCTCTCGTAGTCGAGTTTCTGAACTCAGTAGATGGACTTTAGGAGACCATTAGCTCCTGAATATATGCAAAAATAAGTGGGTTTTTCTAGAAGAACAGGTCTGTAGCTTTCCTTAGAGTCTCAATAGGTCTGGGGCCTAAGAGAGCTTATGAGCCGTTGATCTAGAAACTAAATTGGTTTATAATAGGCTAGCTTCTTATTTTAGTTTTATGATTTCTAGAGGCTAAATTAGTCAAGAAGCAGATAATTCTTAAAGGCAGGATTATATATAATTTTTATCCCTTACTTACTCGGATCCACAGTACAAGCATAATAGAAACTCAGTAAATATTTGCTGAATTTGATTGCAGTAGGGAAACGGTCTTATCTTCAGTTTCCAGGTGGATTTTTGACAGACCTTGTGGGGCTGGGGTGGGATGAGGGGCCAGTCTCAAGAAGGTATAGAACAAGTGCACCTCACCGGAAGTGGGCCACAGCTGTAGTTACCTCATCTAGAGGGGAAGGCTGGAAGTGGTCAGCATGGATTCCAGTCCTGCAGTTTACTTCAGTGGGACGTGGACAGATGGTTCCCTCTCTCTGGGTATCCATTCCTAAAATTGGAGTTGGACAAGGTAATCTTCGTGTTCTAAATCTACGATTCTCTTCCTCTCTTAGTTCATCCCTCCTTTCTACCTCCCTCTTGTATTTAAACTGAAGTGGCAAATCTCATTGAACTAGAAAGAAAGTAGTCAGTGCTTGACTCTTCTCCATGTAGGTGATTCTCCCTTTGAAAGTTCACAGAACATCAGAGACTGCACTTGGGCCATCACTCCCCCTTACTATTTCAGTTTAATCTGAGCAGTCCAATCTAGCATGAAGAGCAGAGATGGGCTTCCTGGTCTGATGGAACCATCACAGGATTTGAAATAAGGGAACCTCATTTCAAGTCCTAGCCACTTAGCCAAGTAAATCTATGTAAGATACTTAAATATGTTGTATTTAACATGTACTTTAATACATTGGTGTCGTTAGTGCCACCTAGTTGGTTCCGACTCATAGCGACCCTGGGTAGGGTTTCCTAGGAGCAGGTGATGAGTTTGAACCACCGACCCTGTGGTTCAAACTGAGCTTGTGGTCCAGCACGTTATCCTGCAGCGCCACATCAAGACTTCAAATATATTGTAGTTAATATTGAATATGTTGTTGTTGTATGCTGTTGAGTTGAACTGTCCCATAGGGTTTCTGAGGCTGTGATCTTCACAGGGGTAGAGTGCCAAGTCTTTTCTCCTGTGGATCCAATGGCAGATTCAAACTACCCACCTTTCAGTTAGTTGTGAGCACTTAGCCATCACACCACCGGGGCGCCTCATTTAATACAGAGTTTGCATATATAACATTTAATTTACTTAACATGGGACATATTAATATAAGATTTACCATTATGTCCAGATTATTGTATACTGCATAAATACATTTAAAATAATACCGAGTTTTACCGGATTCTTGTGATGGCTAAATATGCCCGTGGCTGCGTTTATGTGAGAGTGATATTTGTGAAAACTGTTTTATCAGTTACAGAGTATTTTACTAATACTTATTAGTTGTTGTTGTTAAGTGCCACTGAGTCCAACTCATAGCAACCCTGTGTACGATTTCTGAGAAGTGCCTGGTGGGTTTGGACCACTGACCTTGTTTATTGTTATCAGTCAAATGCTATTGAGTCCTGTGTAAAAGGGAGGAAAAGAACTCTTTCTCCTGTGAGTCCGTTCTGTGCTGTATGTATGTGTTGCATGGCATTTTCACCCGGTAGCCTTTCTTCTCTGATGGCTCCCAGTCCACTCTGGATAACCAGGTTCCTCCCTTGGAGTCTGTCACTTTAACACATCCTCTTTGCTATTAGCAGCATTGCTATAGTCGTTAGTCACCATCTGCTTTCTGACCTTTAGAGAGTCATTTTTGACAGATTCTGAGTGAGTTTGAAGTATTCTCTTATTTTTCCATTTCCATTCTATATTCTTTTTCCTAAAGACCTTCACTTCTTCAAGTTATATTATCGATTAGAGAAAGTGTCTTCAGGTCCAGTCTCTCTGTTACATTCACATTGTTTGTGACCTACCTAAGTGGTCAAAAAGAGGTAAAGTCATGCTTGGTATCCATTTAAATGGCTGTTTTTATGTGATTCAACTATTGGCTTTTTTTCCTTCTCTAAAATAAAATTTCAGAAGAAGTCTATTATTTCTCCCTTGTCATTGTTTGATCTTTTAACCTTGAATGTGTTATGTGTAGTTTTCCTCAGATTTTGTTAACATCCGTAAAATAGAAGCATATACAGCATTTTCTTAGAAACTTTACCTAATTACTCCCTTTGAGGCATCACTCGGATCCCTCTGTAAGCCTGTTTTCTAACACAGCGCTCATTTACCAGTGTTGGTTTTAACCATGCTTTTCTACTAAAGCAGCTGTGACAGTAATGTAACCTCTTCGTTTCCTTGTGCCCTCTTTACCCAATTTCAGATCAAGATCAGGGAAACTGATGCTTTATCTTTAACTATTGATGCTCTCTTCTAAACCATTGGTCTCCAGTCATGTCAGCCCAGTGGGCCATTTTTTAAAATGAGAATATGCTATTGTGCACAGCCTGTGTGTTTTTATTAAAGTAGGTCCAGCTCAACCAAAGGAACTGGGCAAAGATATGTGTGGCTCTGGTTTTGAAACAACTTGGTATCAGCTCTAAATGTTGCCCATCGGGTGGTTGGTTATTTGCATAAAGTAGACTTTTAATCAACAAAACCATTAGACTGGTTTTTGGTATCAGGAGTCAGCTGATGGTATAATCCTCAGCATTTGTTTTCCAATAGGCTTAAATAAGTACTTGAAAACAGTAATTAAAGCAAAATTTGGAATCAGTTAAGCTATGAGATAGACTTTTGAAAGGCTAAATTGACTCAGGAATTTAAGAATTTCTTCTCACAAAAAGTAAAGTGTATTTGACAGGGTGTGCTATTAAGGCCTGTTAGTGGAGCTGGGACTCTTTCAGCTCAAACTTAAGCAAAAGTATAAATTATTGACTTTTGTTGTCATTAAGTGCCATTGGCTCATAATGACCCTGTATAGGGTTTCCAAGAGCAGCTGGTGAGTTTTAATCGCCAACCTTGTGGTTAAGTACTTATCCTACGGCCTCTACACCAGGACCTGTCAGCTCTTACAGCTGGGAAATTCATGGAGCCTCTAACTTTAGACAAAACTGGACCTGATTTCCAAATCGCTTCATCACATTGTCCTCCCATCTCTTCATATCTCGTCTCATCTTTTCATCTTACTTTTAGGTTGCCCTTTTCTTAGGCAAGTTCTTGACATGT